TACAGTTAAACAGCTCTATCTCGGAAATCGTTGGGAATAGGACATATATATATTGTTTTGCTTAGAATGACCGAGATTATGATCTCCCACAACATTGATCTTTCCTCTTGGGACACCCTGTTTATTAACATACAATAGCATGAGTGAGGAATTGGGAAGGAGGTGAAAGCGGCTGCTTCATCATCTAGATACTATCCCGTAATTCGCCCGGAGGGACAGAGGTAATTCATGGACATCCTTAGTCTTGATATCCAGACTGCATTCCGAGATTCGAACCGAGTGCCTCCCTAATAAGACTCGAGAGATTTACTGCTCCGCTAACCCGCTCGATGGTATAGATTTTAAGGATATCTGCATTTGTGTTACGTAGATTATTTAAAATTTAGAAAGCGAGGTTAATCGTACGCTTCATGTTTGGTAATTGGATTTATTAACCAGCTACAGGTCGTAACTACGAATGATTATTACACCATTGCTGATTTACACAATTTACAATCGCTCCTCATTAATCTGCACTAGTCTTCATGGATTTATAACAGTCTCACTGAATTACACACTCAAAATATTACACATAAATGGATTCTTCTAACCACACGTTAAGTCTTCTTCAACTACGAACTTCCCGTGGCTATCTCCTCCGAGAACTGACTTGCTTGTTTGTTCGCGTGCTTCTGCCGTTACTACTACTCGTAACTCATAACTGCCCTGAACTGTCCTCTATAAACTTTCGGCGCGGATCTACAGGAAACACGTCAGATGGTCTCTTTCCACTGCTTTGTGACGCCACTGCCTACGCGGAAGTGTGTTTACCGAACCGTTGCCTAGAAACGTATTGCATAACCCCGTTGTTCCACTGCTGTTCGGCGCGGACGACATAGAAAACACAGCATCATCTCTTTTGCGTGTTCGACCGTATTTACAGAGCTGTTGCCTGGCAACGAGTTAATAAAATTTGTTGCAATATAAAGTACGCCAGTGCATCTAGCTCTTCTGCAACGGCATCATTACGGACCAAAATGAAATTTTTCCTTAAAATCTCAGTGTGAATGTCAAATGTAATGGAAATCCGTTCAGAAATTTCTAGGATGGAACAATACGGGGATAGAAATGTGATGTAATCTTTACGTTTTAATTTTATATGAATTGTGTAAAGGAACTTATAATTTAAATTTGGTAATTGTGTCAATTTTCCCAATAACATATCTCGCGATCCCCATTGTCTGATTCGTCATCGATAAAGATATGGAGGCCCAATGTGCATGTCTCAAATACCACTGTGAGTATAAACACAGAAAACAGAACCGGCATACTAACGCAATTCAGTCACTCTGTGTGTAAGTAAAATAGGAAGGTAACGATGAAATATTGCTTCCTAGGAATTTGCTGTAAAGCCGTGGGGCACGCCACTTGCTGGTCTTGCATACGAGCGCTCAGACGGCATTGCTAACGTTGGTTGTTTGGGATGGTGCAAGTAATGCATTCGTGATTTTTTTCCTTGGCACTACAGCCCCAGTGGGCCTAGGCCTACCTCCATGCACTTCTCCGTTCACTTCGGTGTTTCTAGATCTTACACATTCGGTAGGACTCCTTGGGCGGGTGATCATCTCGTCGCAAGGCCTCTACCTGTATACAAACACAGAAAAACACACACACACAAACTAAACATCCATGCCCTGAGTGGAATTCGAACCCACGATCCCGCTTTCCAAGCGAGCGAAGACAGTACATGCCTTAGACCGCTCGGCTACCGTGACCGGCTGCATTCGTGATTACACGTCTTAATTCCATATAATGTGGTTAAATTGGGATCGTGAATGAGTAAAACGTTCATGTCTGCTTATATATCAATTGAAATTAGTTGAAGTTGTATAAGTACAATATCACAGCTTTTGTTTTTGCGCAGTTCATGAATGCTGCGGCTATAGGTCAGTGACTGAATCGTGATATGCTTTACACTCCAGCGTCTGGCCATTCATATAAGTAACAGGAAGTTTTGGGCAGAACCAATCGCCTACTTTCATTGATACGATACAGATCGCGTAGAAAACGACATAGCCAAAAATTAATATATATTCGCCTTTGTATTCGTTGCAGCGGAAACGTTTTTACCAAACCGTTTCCCAGCAAATACAGTGGGACAAACTTATAGATACAGAATGATGTGAGGTATTTATGAAACACGCCTTTGAGATTGGCTCAGGTGCCAAGATAGACATACCAAGTTTCATAAAGATTGGTTCAGGCTTTCAAAAGTTGGTATGGGTGATACACAACACACAGACACCGTGATAATCTCATAAGCCTAATTTAGCAAATCAGGCTAACAATTTTCACAATAAAATATAGCTTGCAGAGTACTATAGTGGAAGAACATGAATACGTATTACATTTCTTATCACTCAGAAGCAATCTAAGTTAGGAAAAGCATCTTACACACCGACTCAGTATAGTGTGTGGCCATTAATTTCCTCAGTTATCGGTTATGCGTCTTGTGCCAGGGAAGTCCAACAGAAAACGCCAGAGATGCTGTTAAATGATACTGAGAATAACCCTGTAATTTAAAACGTGTAAAATCGTCATACTGTACATCTCTGCCGACCGCCGACTCCGAGAAACGGCAGTATACCAGGGAGAGTCAGTAAATAGGTCACAGAGGGAAGTAAAACACCAGCAATTGATATAAGAGGTTTTCTGTATGTATCACTGGGTAGCAGCACAGTCCAGCTTCATGTCAGTCTAAGTAGCCGGAGGAACACATCTTCTGGAACTGTAAACAGTACGAGACCAAAGGGCAACAACAATGGATATTCTGTCTGAGAACAGCAAAAAGAATACCCAAAGTTAGTTACAGAGATCTTAAGATTAGAAGAAAAAGATTTGTGCAAGGCGTCTATTACTTCATAAACAAATTCCCAAACTTCTTAAAAAGGAAAAGAAATATATGTAAAAAAATATTAATAGTATATTCTTAGTAATTTAATTCAGTTCAAGCCAGCGACTAACCGCTTGAGCTATGGCGCGGCCTTTACACACCCTTAAGATCACTTTAATTGCAGCATACATAATCTTCTGTCTTCACTAGTTGTTTCCTCCATGATTTATTTAATCCGTCTTGCAGTGCATACACTCATTTTTCTCCTTCTCNTTCCGTGCTCACGCCATTGCCGTTACTTTACTCTTCAAGTAATGCCAGACACTAGCACACAAAACAAATGTCAACACTTCCTTGTACCGTGAAGGTTAGCGAAGCAGTTGCAATCCCCATCTGGGAACGACAATGCTCGGTGTCATTTATCATGATTTTCTTTGCTCTCTTCCAATTCTTATTTCACAGTCCGCCTCGGTACTTTAATTTTATGTCTATGTGATTTCTATAACAACGCTGTCAATTGCTCATACCATATGCCAGATGATATGAGGATTAATGAAGACTGGATTGGAAATGAAGTAGATGGAAGTGGTCGTGGAGTAATTAAAGATATTGTAACTGAATTCGTCTGAAGAGACAAAGGAAAAACCACAGAACCATCAGGCATGACAGCCGACCTCTGTAGAGGAAATTTAAACATGGACTTCCAAATAAGGAACAGCAGAGATGCCGTTTTGGCTGCGACATTGGAGCCTCTACATATGACGCAGTGCTGTATCGAGCAAAGATATCAAAGCCCGTAGGAAGGGCCGCGCCATAGCTCAAAGGGTTAGTCGCTGGCTTCCCACCGCTGCGGCCCGTGATTCGATCCTGGGTCTGGTCAAGTGGGATTTGTGGTGGACAAAGTGGCGCTGGGGTGGGTTTTCTCCGAGAACTTCGGTTTCCCCTGCCAATCTTCATTCCACCAAATTCTCCATCATCATAATCACACGGGGCAGGCTACAATAGGCCAATCAGTGGCCGCCGTGCCGAGTGGACCCAGTTGGACTCCATCCCCCACTAAGTGAATTAAAAAAAATTAAAAAAGTGTGCATACATCGAGCACCTATAGATATGTGTTATAAACTCGTAGAGTTTCTCTTTCATTTATACTAGTTTTTGTAATCCTTTACAACAAACTTACGAATATAATCAACTTCCAAACTGCGTCAATCATTTTGGTACACGGGTTATGCAGTATAGTGGAAAAACGAACTTTTAAAATTGTAAAAATAAATATCTGTGCGGATTTGAATGGAACTCATAGAAGTTATATATTAAATTATTAAGGGTACTTGTATAAAGAGATTAATTCTGTTTTGTGAATTCGTTACACAGAAAAATATATTCCACTTTGAATTTTCAAAAACGTACGCATTTACAGCCATATTATGCGCTCTTTGAAAATGTCGGATGGCGCTACAGTTTAATTTATCAAATCCACTATGTGATCTTGATTTTTTAAAGATTTAAATCCATTATATGGACATATTTGGAGCCAGTGTAAAGAATTAGTATACAGAAAACCAGAGAGAGCAGTTCCAGCTCTGGAGTTACTGCAAGAAATAATTGAAAATGTACAACCTGTCGTATTACAAAATGACATTTGATCACCCAACGACCAATGAAAAAAAGAAGAGGTTTAAGTCGTAACCCAAGAAAAGAGGGGAAGTACCCCATTGAACTTCAATGTCGGTAAGGAAACGCGAAAGAATTATAAATAAAATACACATATCTCGTTAAAAATTAAAAATACGTGTCGATGTTATGAATGAACTAAATTTAGTAAATCCTTTTACACGCGTATCTTCTACATAATCAAAGGCCGTCTATTTTTATCATTTTTAAAAGAATGGCTCCTTTTTATCCACGTGGTATACAAATCAATTAATTGACAAGAAACTAACAGTGTATTTGAAGACTGGAGTGTTTACAAAGCCTGACACGTCGACTCTGATTCCACATGGACTTGATTGGCTGCTTGCGAACAGGAAAATCGACTATGGTTTTGTTGTGAAGTTTTCTGCAATACCGACGGGCTAGAGTGCGGGTGTCCAGACACGAAGATTTTGAAGCAGTAACGAACAGCAACGAACCTCTCTCCGGCAATTCAGTGTTCTGTGAGTCACCCTCGCGGCCAGATGGGTGGCGGTAGCAGTCGTGGTCTCCTTATACAGGGCGATCCCTTTTTAACGCAACGCGTTTAACATGAGTTCAAGAGCCTTAGCCGGTCTTAGCCGTGTTTCTTGGTATTCAGCGATGCTAGTATGAACTGCTTATGTTGATTAGTGAAGATTCAGAGTCTTGACTGATCTTTCACAGGGTGGTTTTGTTTTAACAGATTTATTAACAAAATTTATAGTGTATATACCTTGATTGCAGAGTAGAGGCTATTGCATCTTTAATTGCGTAAAGCAAATTATTAACAGTAATAAATTTTATTCGGAATATGATAAAATCTAACTAAAATTTTCTGTTTACCGAAGGTCAGCCGTGTGAGTGCTTGACGTATTTGTGAGTATATAGGTTAATTCTTGCAGACTTAACCAGAATTATAGGACTTGGTTATTTTGAGTGATGTACCCGGAGGCTTTCTACTGTTTGGTTCGATCATATCTTTGAACCGCAACTCATTTTAATTCATGCACTTCGAAGTAAATTCATATATAACTTGACGGGATAATTCTGTATTTCAGCATCCCGTTGCAATTGTTCAAATTAGCGTCCATTGTTTATCTTTCGTCACAATTACAACACTGTAGAATGTAAAAGTGTTGCAATTTTGACGGAAGATAAACAATGGACGCTAATTTGACGGGATAAGCCGAGTTCTTGTTTTATAGAACTCTCCGGCTGCAGAGATGCTTTTATTGACAATAATACGAAATGCGTTTCATTTGTAGAAATGGGCAAGAATATGTCTCTTTACTTGTGGCTTTAACTTCATGTAGGCTTTTCATCAAGCAACAGATAAGTCGTTACGCGGTTTTCCAGCATTTTTCACTTTATGTTGAAATAATATCAGCCGTTTTTAAATTATAAGATCATTTATAATTGAAATATATAGATTCTTTGGGACATTAATTTCCTCATCAGAATAACATGCCATTTAAATAATCTGTCACGTTTATAAACTAATAAAAGATACGACACTTGAATCATTTTAACAGAATTATCCATACGGCAGAAAGTTTGAAGTAAGATGCAATTAACATCAGATTATTCGATGTTAAGATGAGCACCGAATCGGGTGAAACCAGCAAGGGGCCCAAGAATTCTGAGAAACACAATCAAGACTCCCCGTCTGGGGTTTCTTCACATCGGACCACGAAGAAAGACAAAGGTATGCTATCGTATTGCTTGATCAGTTTCTTTGTATATTTCTTATGTCTAATATACTGGAGTAAGGTAAAGTCCATCTCCTCTATGAACAAGGGTACGTCATACTTCCTGTACCAAATCTTACGGAAGAAATATTCTGTGTAAATATTATATGTTAGCATCCCGTTGCATTGAGGCATCATCCGGATTATTATTATTATTATTATTTAATAATAAGGATGCTGTGTAAATATGTGAGTTTACTAGCGGCTAATGCATATCAGAAGTACGTTACTACAATCCAGTGACCTTCTCATGATGATATAACGGTCTGTATTAATAATAGAAGGTGACGTAACCTCGTTCCCATAGAGAATGGTGCATAGGAGTTACAATTGCACAAAATAAATAAAATCACAAGCCCAAAATACATTTTTCCTCATTACCATTATCGCTGTCATGTTAATTTAGTAGCCAAGGGGGTACATAATTTTCTGACGCTCTTCTCTCTTGTTCAATTACGTATCGAAATGGCATGTGCCACTTCTCGTAGAAGACCTGAGAAACCGCGTCTGGGCATCCGTGCGAGATCCCACCAGACACAAGGTACAAAGGGTAGCTACATATAATTTGATATGTTAATTTGCTTACTGAATACAAGTTTAGAACCGTAGTGTTGGACGTTGTTAGCCATTAGAAATGTCGCTTCCTTAGAAAGTTATGTAAAGTTTATAGCTGGACTCTCTCTCTCTTTGCTTCAGTCTGTATAAAAAGGCGAATTTCTCTCTGGGCTCAATTAATTAAGCACCACGCCATGTAGACTAATGGGGGAGTCAAGGCATAGGTCCACAGTTCTTGACCTCGACACTACCTAGATGTGAGTGATCAGCTTCACGCTCCGGTCTCTTTACCACAGAGGAGAGAGCTATCGGTACCCATTAGATGGGCACTAGAGCCAGTCTGGACGCTGTGGAGAAGAGAAAAACGTCTTGCCCTGCCGGTAATTGAACCCCGTCCCTCCAGCCAGTAGCCACACTAACTGAGCTATCCCGGTTGTTAAGATAATCTGTCCATTACTTCGTTTTCAAAAATATTTAATCGTACGGTCAGTTAAAATTATTTTATACTGACTGTTCTTACTGCTCAATGAGCCGGGAAAGCTCACCCTTAAAGTGACGGGCTCCGGGTTGTGTGACCAAGGAATAGCAGTTCCTTCCTCGACAGGGGCAATAAATTTTTCTTGTTTCCATAGGGCCCAGACCGGCTGTGGGGCCTACTCAGACTCCGTATAGCGTATAATGGGGGCTTTTTCTCCTGTGGTAAGGCGGCCAGGTCGTGAACCTAACCTCTCACGTCTAATCTAATGCTTAGATTAATAATAAATGGATCCATACCTTCGCGTGGTACCTAGTTAAACACGGGGACAATTTTACCTCTGTCTTATCCGTGTTAAGGAGACACAAGGAAGGCCTCTTCCCGGCGAAAAAGAAGCTTGACCCATGCAATTGGAGCGCCGAAACTTGTTCCGTAACATTTATGTTGCTGGGTAAGTCCGAGCTAACGGAAGTTCGTATGGAGCTGTGTGACCACTCTGTGAAGCGTAACATAGTCAGATCGTTACGAATGCTTGGCTGCCATTCGGTAGAGAACCATTTTTTTTTTGTCCTCACGTCTACCGCCTTAAAATGTAAACATCAGAATATACAGAACCATAATTTTGCCTCTGATTCTGTATGGGTGTGAAACTTAGTCTCTAACATTAAGGGAGGAATATAGATGGAGGCAGTTTTGAGAAGAGGGAGCTGGGACATTATTTGGACAGAAGAGAGATGAATTGACAGGAGGTTTGAGGAAACTGCATAAGGAGGAGCTTCATAACTTGTACTCATCGCCAGTTATAATTAGAATGATCAAGTCAAGAAGGTAATGACAAGAGCATGTAGCACGCATGGGGAGAAGAGGAATCCAGATAGAGTCTTAGTGGGAAAGCAAGGAGAAAAATAGCACTAGGAAGATCTGAGGATAATATTGAAAATGAGTGTTAGAGAAATAGTATGGAGTGGCATGGACTGCACTGATCTTGCTCAGAATAGGGACTAGTGGAGGGCTCTTGTGAACACGGTAATGAGCCTCCGGGTTCCATAACATTTTGTGGAATTCTTGAGCAGCTCAGCAACTGGCGGCTTCTCAACAATGACTCAGCTCCATATAGTTAGTTAGCTTTACGAACCGCAAGAAGTGACGTTATTACGGCGTGCCATAGCAACGAATAGTAGGGGTGTATGAACCTCGTCTTTTGTGTTGCACAAAAGTATAGTAAGTCACGAACAAGCGGGCAGTTTTTATGCCGCTTTCTTTATTTTAAATGTAGCATAATGAGATCACCCATGAACTTTTGAATACCCGTACCGATCGTCATAAGACATGGTATGCATATCATGGCACCTGAGCCCATTTCAACGGTATACTTAAAAAGAACTCCCATAAGTGTGTTATTCCCGTATGTGTATCCTTCCTTCCGTTGCTGGGCAATGTTTCCGCTGCAACGAAGCATTGTTGGATGCGTCGTTTTCTGCGCGTTACGTGTCGTATGAAAGGCAAGCAGGCCATTATTTCACCCCAGAGCCTGTTCTAATGCACTTTTTCTAATCCGTGAGCGCGGTGTAAGGCATGAACCGTCTTCGCCAGCTCGAATGCTGGGATCGTGGATTCGAATCCTATTCGAGGCATGGATGTCTGTATGCGTATATGCTGTGTCTGTGTTGTTCTGTGTGTAGGTAGCGGCCTTGCGAAGGGCTGATCCCCCGTCCGAGGAGTCCCACCGAATGTGTATAAATTTAGAAACTGAAAAAGTGTCCAATGTCCATAAGGGATATAGAGCTATAGACAGATGGATGGATGGATGGATGAATAGATAGACAGACATAGATAGATAGATAGATAGATAGATAGATGTGAAAATATAGTTGGTATCCATCACGGAACTTGGATTTATATACATTTAGAAGACCGTTCTTTTCAAAACAGGTTTCTAGGACACAATTTTAGCATTATTGCGTCACCGTCCCCTTGCAGCTTCGTCCACATATAAAATTCGCACTTGGAAGATTCTTTGTCTCTTCTTACTATTTATTTAAACACTGCATGTTTCAGTCTAACTGGCCATCATCTGGTTTATAAGATTGTTGAAAAAACTGCTGCTCTCTCGTTACCCTGTTGCATTTTGCATTTAACGAGTAACACAGAATGCTTATAAAGTATTTTAAGTTTTTCAGATTGCCATGCTGTGGTTCCATTTGTTGTGCATACATGTTTGGTGTGTTGGTTTCTTTCCTTTGTGTTGTATGTAGCTGTACAATGCTAAAATGGGTGCTGTCATTAAGGCAGTCGCGACTTCAAGCTGACCTCTCACTTCCATCTAGCATCGAGATCTAAGAAGATGGAGTTATCCATCCACTCCCCATAGATCTTCATGGCATTGTTCTTAACTGATTAAGTAAAGATTCACGCTTCTACCGCTTAAACCCTGGAGACAGAGCCCCCGGTACCCATTCGATTGGAGGCTGGGTGGGGCCTACATTCGGTTTGGACGCTGAGAAGGGAAAATATCCTGTACTATTGGGAATCGAAACCGGGCTGTCCAACCAGTAGACCGTTGCTATAACGACTGCGCTATACCTTCATGGCGTAGTGGTCAATTAATTAAACACCGCAAGCCTTAACGGTTTTACCTTACTTCAAAAGTACAAGAAAATGAATACGAACATATGCCTATCAAATGTGAACTTCGAGTGTCACTGGGAAAGGCCTCTTTTCATGTCGGCAATCTATAAAATGTGCCTGCATCACGATGGTTTCTTGCTTGGCTTACTCTTCTACCCTGAATATGGAGGCGGCATGTTCCTTCGAAACGTCGATTGCTTTTCCAAGGACTACACGGCATTAGCAAGGCAGCAAATAAAGTTCGGCTTGCTACCTGCTTCGCGCTGGTTTCTTGCTCCGTTTATTCTTCCACCTTGAAGATGGAATCAATATGTTCCTCTGAAACGTCGGTTGACTTTCAGTGGATGGCATGACGTTATATCTCAAAAGGAAGAACTCTTTGGTGGTTACTTCGTCTGCAGTCGGATGATCTGTAATAGATATATGATATCCATATTACTATTTTCAATTTCTCCTTGATTTCATTCATACATTCGTCAATGGCCCTACGGCCCTTTGTTGGGCCCTGGCCTCTTCTTCAGTTTCGTAATCTCTTTTACACAGACGGTAGGGTTCCTTGGACGGGAGATCAGCCCATCGCAAAGCCGCTACCTGCACACAGGGCAGCACAAACACGAAATAAACGCACACACAGACATCCATGCCTTGAGTGGGATTCGAAACCACGGTCCCAGCGTCAGAGCGAGAGAGACCGCGCGGCCAGTGTGACCGGCCTCGTTGATTTCAACGGGCTTTTTTTTTTTTTAATATTAATTGGCTCTAAGAATATTCCAACCAAATATTATCTAGAAAAACACATTTTCATATGATGTGTCGTTCTAACGTAATAATGTAGATTTTAAATTATTTGAATTCCACAAAGCACATTTCTTTACGTTGTTCATAAGAAAATAAAATTCAGCTAATATGAGAAAGGGACACCTGTTCTGTCATATTATAATTAACTCTTACCCTATAATAGGAATCAGGATATTTCATTCGGTATAGTGACAGGCTACATATTGGACGGCCCGGGTGCGATCCCCGGTAGTACAGGATTTTTTCTCTTCTCAGCGTCCAGACCGGTTCTGGGGCCCCCCGAGCTTCGTATCCAATAGGTACCGGGGGACTCTTTCCCAGAGGTAAAGCGGCAAGGGCGTGAAGCTGACCACTCACCTCTACCTAGTGCCGAGGTTAAAAATGTTGGAGTTACACCTCCACTCCTCCATATGTCTTCATGGCATGGTGCTTACATAGTTAAGTACAGGAACAGTTTTGCCTTAGTTTTCTCTGTAATAAACCCTAAATTCACACGCAGCT